ACAAAAGATATTTCAATAAACAATTAATGTAGTTAAAATGTTAAAACTTTCTCTTTTTTAATTAATTTATTACTTTAAAAAATGTATTTACCTAATTACTTGTCTTTGTCATATATTGCTCTTAACAGTATAAATACTTTTTTTCAAAAACATTAAAACAAATATAATTTCATAGTCAATAATTTATAGCAATAAATTATTTAAATAAAATGTTCTCTTAATTCTTAAAAGAATCAAAACCCCCGATCTGTTCGCTGATAATTCTTACTACAGCAACAAAACAACCCTCTTTGCGCCACCCAGAATACGCTGTTAGCTTGTATAAGGCATTTGGCGGCGCTCACCGCAGCGCCTCTTTAGCTCAGTGGTAGAGCGTTGGTCTCGTAAACCAAAGGCCGTGAGTTCAACCCTCACAGGAGGCAGCTCTATACGACAAAGAAATTTTTTTTTTTTTAATGAGTTTATTTAGTATTACGCATATTTACACTATACGTAAGTTCAGTTTGTTTTATATGGAGGCTCCATTCATTTGACTGGAAGGGTAGAAAATTGCTTCAAAGGCAAAACTATAGTTCCGCTGCTCTTCTTCTTGGGCCCAAGTGTTATTTTATGACTGTCGTACTAGCACACACATTGCGCTGTTCACACGCACGTGTGGGCCTTTAAAACTAACGGCAATACGAGTTGTAAATAGGGTTTCGGGGCCTGTATGGTGAATGATGCGGTCATTATGGCCATGTATGTACATAACTGAATGGGATGCTGGGAGGGCCAACATATGTGGACGTGCAATAATTATGTACTGGTATATCAAATAAAAACACCTCTTAACGAGGTAAAAAACTAGTGACGACCGCACCTTCAACATACAAAAGTTCTGATATCAACATTTGTGACGAAAAATTATTACACTCGTCATTAAATAGACTTTCTAATATTTTCTCATTCGGCCCGCCCTAGCAAACTATTCCAGCCTTTTTCCCCTTACAGGCATTTTCTATTGCAGCGTGACGAATGAGAAAAGATTAGAAAGTCTATTTAATGACGAGTGTAATAATTTTTCGTCACAAATGTTGATATCAGAACTTTTGTATGTTGAAGGTGCGGTCGTCACTAGTTTTTTACCTCGTTAAGAGGTGTTTTTATTTGATATCAGAAGTTTTTGTTTGTTTACATTTGCTCTCATAGGAGCTAATATATACATTTAAATTTAAATTGGTCAATCATAATTTTTAAACTATTGTATTTTAACAAATTAAGTTAAAAAGGCGTTGAAGTATTTCAAAATACCTTTTAAACGAGGTATAGTACATGTCTGTACCTTTAGTAGTGTAGAACTTACAAACTAACGAAATTTAGCTATTTTTAGCTTTTTCCCGCTAAAGTAGCGGCTTTTTCCAAAAGTCGTAGAACAAAAGATTCCTATATGGAACTCTTAAGTGCAAATTTACTGATTCCATGACCCTAAAGTACAGTTCGGATACCCTCCCACAAAATTCAATACTCAGGGAGCGTTAATTGTTCGAGCTGGCAAAAGTGGCTATTTTCGAATAAAAATAACTTTTAAACGTGACTTTTTACAGTAATGTGTTATATACCAAAATTTAAGGAATCTCAAGGGCTATACAGTTTGAAGTTTTAAAGAAAATCGTTAAAGCCGCTTTTGAGAAAAATAAAAAAAGCAAAAAAAAGTTTTAAAACATTTTGTTTTGTGCATATCTTTTTAAATATTACATTTACACAAATTGCATATAGAAGGCGTTTATAGCATTTAAAAATACCTTTCAAACGAGATGCAGCACAAGCCTGTAGCTTTAGTAGTATAGAAGTTACGGCTTTCCGAATTTTAGCTACTTATAGCTGTTTTCCCGCTAAACTAGCGGGTTTTTCCAAAAGTGGTAGAACAAAAGTTTTTTATATCGATGTGATGAACGTCATATCAAATTTTCAGAACTTAAAAAACATATTTTGGACAAGTGGACAAACAGAATTAAATTTTCATTTTGGGAAGAAGAAGAAAATCTTATTTTGGCTATAACTTTTGAACGGAGAGTCGGATTTTGACAAATGACCCCTCATTCGACGGGTATTTTCAAAAGGAATACAACTAAAACATTGCGAGGGGGCATTTATCCCCACCGGCCCCAACAGCTCCAAATTTCGAAATTTTCACTTTTTCACTTTCACCGCTCTCTCTCCCAAGCCAATTGATTTTCTTAAAGTCTTGGTATGCAATCCTGTTAGTTTTCGCAATACCTTTCGATAGGTGTATTATTCATTATGATCGGACCATCACAGTAGATTTTCATTTCTTCGTGTATATATAGTAGTCGCCTTCGCACACTCTCCTGGTGCGCTTCGTCACTACATGGACTGCCGTCCATAGTGATCCTTATGTACGAATGTACGCAGCTAACTTGCTTGTTTGTACTTTAGCGATATTAGGGGAAATGTTTGCAACGTCATAAAAAGCGAAAATAAAAATAAATTTAAGCAAATTGCATATATGACAACCAATACAGACATCCCTTGACCATAAGCACGCTTATCTTAATTACACTTATCGTTATCCGAGTTCCACTAATAGCACACTATATCATTAAGCGATGAAGCTAACCGTAAATCAATAACTTGATTTAATGGTCTTTGCTAATTATGAACTGATAAATATGAACTTATGAACTTGGTCTATCTTTGCTCATAAAACTGTCTGATAATTATGAAATAATTAATTAATTGTCATTAATGACATTAGCAGTCCGTACTTTACTTGAATTATTGTTATATTGAAGAACTATAGAATTATTATTATAGAAATCTTATAAGAAAAGTCGAAAGTACTTTAAGGGCTTCTTCATCACTTCAAATAACCCTTAATAATCCTAAAATAATATTTAATCTCTGCTATGGTAATTAATGTGTAAATTGGGCCCCATTAAAGTATGCGACACCTTCCATTTGGCTCGGCAATAAAGGTAACCAAGAACCGAGTTAAGCCTTAAAAGCTCAAACTTTTGGAACTCTTTGCATATTGCTCACCAAACGGGGTCCTTTATTGAGGACAGCTTTAAGGAATCTTGCCGCGACCTATGCTAAATTATATTTATGAATTAATAAAGCACGCAGATGACACTTTTGTTGTATCGCCTCCAGCTGAGGATGGATGGGTAAGGGACCGCCTTCCTCCTTTTCGTTTCGTTTCGTTTCGGGACTAATTGAAAATGACAGGGTGCCTGCGCCTTTGTTGCTGCCAGCGGCTGAGCACCGGGAAAATGTTAATCAACGGGGCAACTTGGCTATGGCGAAATCAAATCAAGGTAATTTACCGTAAGAGACAAAAAGGCATCATTTCATTTCCCAGGCTCAGAAATCGACAACACATCCGCCGCCCTTTCCACTATGTTCTCGGGTGTGTGTGTCTGTATATATTTAGAGAAAAATGTTGATATTTGTATTAAAAAAATGTTAGTGTTTTTTAAGAAAAATTGTATACTCCTTTTTTTTTGAGTAATTGAGATTTAATATAATAATATTAATTTATAGAATCTGAATTTTTTTTCACCGGTTATTACATTTATTTCTCTTAAATTCTTTTTTTTCTGTGCTGCTTAGAGTTAGCCAGGCCAAGTATTTGCTCTGTAATTTATATGCGCACAGCAGATACCAAAAATTCACCGTGGAGCTGGCTGATATCTTACCTCATTCCGGACCCGCAATTTGCATATTGTGTACATCTTGAGTTCGCACAGTCAATAACCGCCATCCCCACGTCCTTTACACAGACACCCCCACGCACACTTACACACTTGCGAAAAGGAAAAAGAAATCCTGGCTGTTGCTTAGTATGCAGGTGGCACGTCAGCTCATCTGGGGTCTGTGTTCGGGGTCTGCTTTTAAGCAGTGCATTTCCGATTGGCGCCAACTTTCGCTTCCCTTTTATTGGTATACCTTTCTGGCTCTGAAGCACACACTTCAACAACACACCCACAAAGAGGGGAAATTGCGAAAAACAAGAAAGCATTTTCCCTTTTAATTTCAGCATTTCTCACAGTTCTTTTTGTTTTTTTCTCGCAGGACCTTACAGCCTAGTAAAATGACTGTTGCCTGCTTTGAATTTAAACAAATGGGGTATTGTTGCTGCCGCTTTAATGGACGCCTTCATTCATCTCCCCGTCCCCGACTTTCAGCTATTTATATACACTTTTGTTCCAGCCAACTTTTTGAGGCTGATGTTTGCCCCGTTCCCCCCCGAAAAAGTTCTGTTTGCCATTGTTTGTCCTCTTATTTTTGTTGGCTCGCCTGGGTTGTTTGTTTTATTTTCAATGTATATTTGATTCCTTTATGATTGTGTTTGCATTTTTGTTTTTATTTGTTTAGCCGTCAATTTTAATGAGCTGTCGCGAGTTGGGAGCTGGCAGCTCATAAATTTTACATTCCGCTATCAATGTCAGCGAATTTGGCTGCTGAAGCCCATAATTTATTCATTGAATTTAATAATGCAGCACAAATTTCGTGGGCCACGGCCTATTTATTAGTTAAGGATGGGGAAAAAAAGATATTTCCCCTGAAATTAGAGATTGAGACTCACCTGCTCACCTGACTTCACCTGCACCCCAATCAACTTAATTCTTCATTGGTTTCTTTAATTTATTGTTTGGTTTCGCTTTTCGCAAGTTATACCCCTTTACATACATATGCTTTCTTAGTCGCACTTTGATAGGCTATTTTAGCAGTTTTACTTTGCGCTTCTCTAAATACATTTTACATTTCGATTTAGTTAGTTTAAATTAGTTTCAGTTTAATTTAATTAATGATACAATACATTTCCGTCGCCTTGCCCATTCCATGTGGATTCAATTACATATAATACTAAACATTTATAAGATACTTTCAATATCGACAATTGTTTTAATATATAATTAGGTATATATAGATATATGTATATAACGATTCATATTATCTGTGTAAGAGCCGTGAACTCACACCGAGGTGTCAGGAGTCAGTATATAATGGAGCTTAATAGTTTTCTTTCATGAATATTACCACGTTATTGCTGATGATTACATATGCAGCGCGCCTCTTTACACACAATTTAAAGAATTTATAGTTTTATACAATTTGTTCGTATATTTCATGAGTGTTTTGTTTCAATGTTGCGCATCGGCATTTTCATTTCATTTCACTATATTTCAGATTTTCGCCCAAGCGCTTCGCTCCGTAAATTCCCCTTCATGTGGACATGAATTCAACAACAAACCTGCGGAAATGTCGAAAATGCGATGCGAGATATGTCAGCGAAAAACATTTTCATGAATTCGCTCCGAAAGTGGATAAAATCAATAAGAACAGAGTGGTTCCTAAAGTTCAGCAAATTTAGTTTCGTATGTGTCGTATTCCCATCGTGATCCTGGAAGTCCTTGTGACCATTTGGTATTTGGTTTTTCGTTTTTGGCATTCTCATTACAGTTTACTAATAAATCATAATATCGAATAAGACTAGCTTTTTTCATTTGGCTTCGACAGATGATGAGTGGTAAATGATGATTACTTTTCTGGATTGACCACGAAATCGGGTGAATGAAGAGTGGTATTTTTTGAGTGGCTCAGCTATTTTCTAAAGTTCACTATTAAATCATTTCCAATTGTTGCTTCAGGACCGGGTTTTATCGCTGAGCCAAATGGTGCCTACAATAAGGATATTTGTATTTGCCATGCCATTTTTTAGAATCGGAAACGACTCAAGAGTTATTGCAAAAGGGCATATCTTATGACAGCCGTTGTTTGGTTTGTATTTGTATTTGTATAGTAAATGTACTTCTCTAATATCGATTTGTGTTTTTGAGTTTTATGGATTGCAGGCTGCCTTTCAGCTTGGGTCAACATATATATATTTGGGGCCACATGTTGTTCGCCGTTATCCTATTTCGCTATTTGTATATTCTTTACTTCGAGCTTCGACTTTTATTAGACTAATAAAACTTTAGATTTACCATTTGCTTGAGTTCGCTGGCTAGCGGTATCTGTTGCTACAATATTTCGTTAGTTTCAAAGAGTAACCCGTATTTCAAATTGTTCAGTGTGACTTCGGTGTGATTGATTGACCACAAAAACGTTTATCCAGCTGGCAAGGTCTTCCCTCCTCTTGCCCTTGCCTCGTTTGAATTTATTTGAATCTGCTCTGTTCTGATCTGTTTTATGTTTTCTTCTCATCTTGTTTACACTGCACTGCATCAACAAAAGTTGGGGCTAATAAAATGGTTTTGCTTTGTTTTTGTTATCTGCACTTGCCGAATTGTTTTCACTTCTTGTCAGCCAGTAAAACCGAATTCGCATTCGTTCATCAAAGAGTCGGGAGCAGGGCAGCTCGTAATATCCAATTTAATGGGCTTACCGTGATTGATAGATGAGCGCGTAAAGCAAAGTATTACGTTTGGCAGGGAAATCCAAAGAACAAACGTCAAATCAGCAGATGCCTGCCCTGCCCTCATTAGGTTATCTATGTGTGTCAACAGTTCCCTAGACTTTAGTGTGGATTGTTAGTTCAGTTGTACATTCGAAATGTTCCCATTTGTATATCAAGAGGTGGGTTGAAACTCAAGCCGCCTTATCCTGGCCATTAATAAAGGTTAATCCGTAGAATGCTGGAATACTGATGGGTAGTATGGCAAAGGAGGTTTCCAAGTTGTTATAACGAAAAATAACGATACAGAGCTGGGGATTGGGTGGTGTTGTGTCCTTTCGTTTCTTATCGTTTCGAGTGCCTCCTCCCTGAGTTGCAGCCGCTTAGTCCCGGATGAAGACGAACTCGTTGTAGTGATTCCAGCGGTTCTCCTCGGTGTCCACACCCGGTTTGGGTTCCGCTGCCGAGCCGGCGGTTCCGGAGCCGCAGCTTCCGGCCATGCGGTAGCCATGGTCGTGCAGATTGTCGAAGGCCTGCTCGATGTAGCAGTGCTTCAGGAAGAACCGCGAGGTGTATCGATCGGTGCCGCCGTGATCCGGATCCCGTGACTCGTTCAGCGTATCCCCGAAGACCTCGCGACACTGGGCCACTCGGCCGCAGACCAGGATGCGCGACAGCTTCCGGAACTTAACATCGGCCAGTCCGTCCTTGCCAAACTGAAAGCTACCGCGGTAGCCAATGGTGATGCAGCCCGGCGGCCGGGCATCCCGCTCGCCGCGGATGCACTCCAGCATGGCGGCCAGCTTGAAGTGCTCTGCCTCGCGCAACAGCCGCTGGCGCTCGCGGAAGCCCTCGGGCAGGTGCAGCGCCTTGTCGCGCAGGAAGTCCAGGATGTAGCGGAAGAGGACCCCGTCGCGGTCCAGGAAGTAGCGGCCCTTGCTGTCCTTGGCCAGCGAATCGCGACCCTCGCCGAAGAGCTCGGCCAGCAGCGTGCTCTTGTCCGCCTGCAGGGTGGCCAATGTGGTCGTGTAGCTCACGCCGCCAACGTTCAGCTCGATGATTTCGGGCATGATTAATGCCAGGCTACTGTTTACGTCGGATCGGTAATTAATCGGCCAATTAATATCTAATATCTAAGCACACATATGGCCAAGCACAAGGGAGAAACACTCGCGAACTTGGTGCAATCACAATCACCACTATCTCTGGGTTTGTTTACAGCCTGCCTGGGTATATCCTACGCTTCCTTTTCTGTCCGCCAAACGCGTCCGCACTCGTTCAGGTCTCGTGTCGAACTGACGGGGCTTCTGGCCAGGCCAAGAGCAGAACGCTTTTCACTCGCCCGTTGGTGAACCTCGGTGTGTATGCATTGGGGAAGAGGCCAGATTTTCCTGGAGCTCTCTACTACTTTCTCTCTGTCTCTCTGGCCTGCGCACTCGCTGGCCGTGTTATGATATTGGATATTATTGTTTAACAAGTGGTTAAATTTCTAAAATGTGCACGGATACTTCTGGCATATGTATGAGCTTGAAGGGTTGCCCCGTCTTTCGCCGCCCGCATGTTATTAATTTGACGAGGGTCCGCAGTGCGTATGCTTAATGGCCAATATGCTGGATTACCCGGTGCCAGAGTGTTGTTTAATGCCAGTGATGCTGCCTAAATTGTGCCGAGCAGCATTAGCATTCAGCTGGCGTAAAGTGGGTTTTTCGCTTTTCGTTCTGGGAGCAAAGTTCGCCGCCATGTCATAACAAATTATGGCACATGGCATACTTTAAGGCGTCGCACATACTTTTAGCCTCGGCATGCCAACTATCCTGGTTTATTTTTTCACGGTATGTGAAATAGGGGGAGGGACTTTTCCGAGTGGCAACAGGCGCTGACAATTTGACACCGTGACACTGACATTAACATGCCACAGCGGGCAATGCAACTGGTTGGGCCTGGCTGAGCTGCCTGGACCAGTTTTTGGCCTCGTGCCAAATGGGCCACGCTGTGTGGCCCTCGGTTTGGGCCACGCCAGAATACCAGAGCATCAGAGCACCAGAACGCCAGACTGCCTGGCAGCAGGCTCACCTGTTTGCTGCGGCTGCCGCCCCTCGCTGTTAACTTTTCACGAAATGTCCTGTTTGCCACTCGCTGCAATTGAATCAACAACAGCGGGCAATAACGAATACGCAGCTCTCTGGCCTACTCCCCCAGAAAGGCACCCCACTGCGTTAGCCCTTTGACACGGCCGAAAAGAGCTGGGGATACACACAGACACGGGCTGCGAAAAAATAATAAAAATCTGCCAGTTTTCCAGCTCAATCCTTTTCCTTTATGCTTTAAGTAAAAATTTATTATATATCTTGAATGTATTTCAGTAACTCGTAAAGAATAAGACTTTATGAAAATAAAAATGGGTTATTTTATGAAAAACTATAGCCTTTCATTAAAATACTACAAAAAAAATTGCTTTAAGATTTAGTTCTTAATTTAATTATATCAATATTATTAATATAATGCAAATATTCTATAATTTTTGATCAAATCTTTTTTTATAAAATTACATTAAAATGAAAATTAAATTTTGAAAGAAAAGGATTTTTGAAACAGTTCCTTAAATGAAATTAAAGATTTTACTGCTAAATAAATAGTTTAAGATGTATTCTTGGGATTTGTAAAACTTAGTTTTGAGTTTAAAAAGATTTAAATTAAGAGTTACCCATCCCTTAGAGATAAGGATTACTTCTGTATAAAAAGATACCAACTAAATATAGAATTAAAAACATTTTTCTCTCTCTGTCCTCACCAATACACAAGCCTTTTGCTAATTGCAATGAAAACTTGGCTGTCGTGAGCATTGGGGTTGGCTTTCAGAGCATTCAACCTGCCCGAACCCCTTCAGTTTGCCGCCTTTCGCTTGCTTACTCCGCTCATTTCCGTTTCCGGTTGCGGCTGCAGCGGTCTCTCGCCCTCTCGCTCCCTCCCACACCAAATACTCGTATCTACATATACCCGTCTCACTATCTGGGTAATGCTGCTGCTTCTTATCAGGCGCTCGCCATTTCTACCTACCCTTCAAAGTATTCGCGGCCATGAATTGCGGTTTTTGGCACGCATTAAGATGGCGCAACACTTTACGCGCCATTACGCCCTGCATCTGTGTGTGTGTGTGCCACTCTGCATGTGGTTGTGTGTGTGCTTGGATCACTTTGCGCGTGAGTGTGTGAGTGGATGATGGCTTTACTCTCTGGCGGATTCCGTGGTTCCGTTTCGTTTCTGTCCACGCCGTGAATCCTCCTTGTTTGTCTGGCCGACTGGCGCGATTCAAATTGATTTTGTCTGGCGGCTGCCTTCACCCACACAAACACACGTTTTCCATTTTGTATCTATGTATTTCTGTGTGTGTGCTGGAGCACTTTGTTTTGACAACGCGCCAAATTGTCGCCCCTCACTTAGCCAAAGCAGTTTGCATGCTATTTCTGGTTTGTTTGCCTGTTTACCTTTGGGAACTGCCAGCTCCTCGGAGCGACAAGATGGGTTCTAATGGGCTGGGTAAGCCACCTAAGCGATAAGGCCCGAATAGAAGCCCTTTACAGCCATTGTCCCTTTTTAAGCCGCACACTCACAGACCTGTTGTGACCTCGTCGCCGTCATTTAGGGTTCCCAAAATAAACTTTCACACTCCAAGGTTTTCCTTGTGTCAATCAGATTGCCAGTGCAAATTGTGCATTTGATTTCCCTGGATAAATTCGGCACATTGGCATTGACAGAGCAAACAAAATTGGCATGCCCCAGAAATGCAAAACAAATGAAGTCAAATCAGCAATAGCTTCAATCAACAACAGTCGAAATATTTCATAACACCTCCCCTCGATAATGTGGGGATTTAAAACGATAATCGTATTAGGAATTGGACTATTGTCCATGTGGGTCAGGGATAAATAAATCAATAGCGTTTACAATCTATTGCATCAGCAGATAATACTTTGGTTTAATTTATTAAAAGATTAAAGGAAAAAGCTGTTCCATTAACAACCTAACTTAAAATATAATACAATTATAATAATTATAGCACTTATTTCCATTAGAACAGATCATAAATTAATAGGAAATCAAGATGACAACAAATTATTTTCAAGACATAAAAAATAAAACCAACAGATAAAAAAATTTATGAATTTAAAGATTGTTTCCAAAATAATTTTTCATATATTTGGAAATGTCTTAAATCCACGTTGGTCTATAGATTCACCGCGTGCCTAAAATGGATTTGCAAAAGAAGCACTAATTGCCACTGGAGTGCTCGACCCGAGCACTTATGCAAATGCACGCAGTGTCCGTGTGGTTAAGTGAGCCCGAGGATGTGGGTCCTGGTATGCGTGTGCATAATGCCAGCGATTTGCCTAGCTTAAAATGCACGCCAAGGCACGCGGCGAGTGCCAGTATGCAGCATGCGTATCCTCAAGATACATTGACGCCGGCACACGGTTATGTAAATGCAAATGCGAGCGCATGGCTCCTGGGCAATTTAACACCATGCAGGTGGTAAAATAGTGGCTATGGTGAATGGAAAAAAAAAGTCGAAATTTAAATACCCTTGCATGAACCTCCCTTACTGATATTTGCAGTTCTAAGACATCAATAAAGATAAATACAAATCGTATTTTGGGACTTATCCCAACTTTGACTTATAAGTCAAATCAATCCCTCTATTAACTTGTGGTAAATATTTATATTTTAAATGTTTTTAGCAAAAAAGTTACAAAGTTACTCCTATAGGAGACTTTATCTTAGCGATATTTGCTCGAAGCTTTGAAAAAAAATTAAAAATCAAGATGTCTTTGTTGGTAAATGCTGCAAAGTTGCAGCTTGACTTCAGAGAACAAATTCAAGTGCTGGCTTAAGTTTGAATTGTGGAGCGATCGGGGATTTGTAGCAACTTGCAGGCGGGACTGAAGGTCGTTAATTTTAAATGCGCAGCTCAGGGATAAATGCATACTGGGCTGGAGCTGGAGTCACGACAGGTGCCTGCTGTTGACGTAGACGTTGGCTTTATTCACTGCTGACAGCAACAGTTTGCTGCTAGCGAACACGCCCGACCACGCCCCTTTCCATGGCTACCCGCCCCTCGTCCCCTTGGTCCCTCGTCCCTCGACGGCATTGTGTGTGTGTGAAGGACATGCCCGAAAGTGGGAAACACAAAAACCTTCCGGCATGGCTGCCAGTGTATGCAAGAGTTGCTTTTTGTAGCAATTTTTTACATTTCAGCCTCAGCATCATTATTAAAAATAAGAGATGCTTGGGACCTCCCCTGCTTTGCATGCTCTAAATGGATTATTCAAAGCCTGGCCCATAAATCGTGCTGGGCCTTCAAAAATCCACAAGTGGGTCGCACGTCCCTGTCCGAAGAAGCAATAACAGTTCCAGATGGCACCACCCAACCACCTAAAACCGCCCCACGAACCAACTATCCAAGTGAATTGCAATGAATTTGTTTACAGCCATTGGGACAGACCCTTTTTCCCTCTTTTCACTTTCTTTCTTTCCTTAGTTTTTTTTTCCTGCACTTATCGATGCTTGTTGCACGTCCGTGGTGCCACAACAATTTCGGTGGAAAGCTGTTTTCAATCTCTCGGCCCCTTTGGCCAGCCACTGCACTTGGCTATTTTCGTTTCGCCTTGTTTATTTATGTTTCATGCCACACTATTCACTATTCACTAGACACCCATTCCCCCATTCAGTCGGATATCTGGCATTCATGGTCCAGTTCCATTAGCCGTAGAATTGTATGCTGCTCACGTTTTGTTGCTGCGGCGGATTTATTTTCCAGTTCCGTAACAGTCGGATTTAATTCTTTTTTTTCGTTTGGATCCATTTCAGGGTGCCGTGTTAAATTGGCGGTAAAAAGGTGGAGCTTATCTAATTAATCTGGCTTCCAGTGGCTCAAAGATTTGGCTCCAATGGAGCTGAAGTGAGATTCAATTAGAGAAAGTTAAGGAAAACTTTTTCCGTCAGCCAAAAAAACACTTTCATTCATAAAACCTCTGAGAGATTAAAAATACTCGAGGCGAATTTATCAGCTGATGCCGCATCCACAGCAGACTGCCGTTGGCCGTATTTTCGTGCTCTTAGCCATTTTTATTCGCATTCCCGGTCGCGGCGGACAGCCTGCATAAAAATGCAAATTTAGTTCGGCGAACAATCGCGCAATTAATTGGAAATAATTGCGGAATTCCAAGCGGAGAAAATATTTATGAATTTTTGATTAAATTTCGCGGTAAGAGAATTTTGTGAGATGCAATTCGGGAGAATAAAATCAGCAGGAGCAAGTCTTCCGCTTGGCTTCGTCCTAACGAGTTTGCTATTGGCTTTACCAGGATGCCGCGGAGAAAGGACGAATGTGGGTGAGTGAAGTGCACTTTTCATCGCATTACATAAGCAGGAATTTCACAGCGCAGCCTGCAATTGTGTCATGTATTTTTATGCCGCATACGCACCGTTAGCCGATGGCAACGGCGAATTCGCCAAATAAAAATATAAACAGAACCCACTAAGCAAAACAAAGAGCGAAAGAATCGTGTCACTCTCTTGATTGGCTTTCTCTGTTTGTATACTATAGGTCTTGTCTACGAGAATACCGAACCGGATCTCGAGAAGATCTTCCACTTGGCCATCAGCAAGGCGAACGAGGAGAACGAGGATCTGCAGTTGCACGGAGTGTCCGTCGCCATTGAGCCGGGAAACTCCTTCGAGACCTCCAAGAAGCTATGCAAAATGCTAAGGGTGAGTTGAAAACTAAACTATTAATTACATTTTGAAAGAGAAATGCAAAAAGTTAGTTTCTATTTAGCATCAGTTTAGTTCTAAACATTTTTTACTTCCAAAGTGATGAGTTTGAAAATACTTTTGTAATGTACCATTAAAGCCTAATTTTGTAACTAGAACTAGATAATATAATACTATACTATACCATAGTAGATAGAAAATAGAAGATAGATAGAAAATTATATTCACAAAATTATTTAAATGAAAAATACAGAGCTGTTTTTTTTTAGCGCATTTATTTAAGTTTTGTTTTGGGAAATATATATTAATTCTATATTAATATGGACCAGTTATTTGCCGCCTTATTATTATATTATCATTATTATTTTCCAGCAAAATCTGGTGGCCGTGTTTGGGCCCACCACGAATCTGGCCGCCCGTCACGCGATGAGCATTTGCGACGCCAAGGAGCTGCCCTTTCTGGACACGCGCTGGGACTTCGAGGCCCAGCTGCCGACCATCAATCTGCACCCACATCCGACCGTCCTGGGCGAGGCCCTGCGGGACATGGTGGTGGCCCTGGGCTGGGAGAGCTTCACCATTATCTACGAGACGGGCGAGTATTTGGCCACCGTGCGGGAGCTGCTGCAGATGTACGGCACCGCTGGACCCACGGTCACGGTGCGGCGCTATGAGCTGGATTTGAACGGGAACTACCGGAATGTTCTGCGGCGTATACGCAATGCCGATGATTTCTCATTCGTGGTGGTCGGCTCGATGGACACTCTGCCGGAGCTATTCAAGCAGGCCCAGCAGGTGGGCCTGGTGACCAGCGACTACCGCTATATCATCGGCAACCTGGACTGGCACACCATGGACCTGGAGCCTTATCAGCATGCCGGCACCAACATCACGGGTCTGCGCCTCGTGTCGCCGGAAAACGAACAGGTGCAGGAGGTGGCCAAGGCGCTTTACGAGAGCGAGGAACCCTTCCAGAACGGTAAATCAAAAAAAAACAAGAGAGAACGCTATAGTCGGGTTGTTGTCCCGACTATCTAATACCCGTCACTCAGCTAAAGGGAGTGCGAACGCTGTGTCGGGTTGGTGTCCCGACTAATAATCGTAACTCAGCTAAAGGGAGTGCGAGGGAGATAGATATATGTTGACAATTTATAAAGCGTATAACTTTTTAATGAATGGTCCGATTTGAAAAATGTCTTCTACATTTCGATAGGTATAAATATACACAACAAAATTGCATTTATACTTTTCTGAAATCTTTAAAGATGTGGGCGCAGGACCCATTTTAAAATCGTTAGTGGGCGATTGTGGGCGTTAGAGGGGGCGTGGCGCTTGGCTAAAATAAACTTGCGCTGCGTAGGAAGCCAAAGAATATGTGTGGGAAATCTCAACCTTCTAGCTTTTGTAGTTTCTGAGATCTCAGCGTTCATACAGACAGACAGACGGACAGACAGACGGACAGACGGACAGACGGACAGACGGACAGACGGACAGACGGACATGGCTAGATCGACTCGGCTAGTGACCCTGATCAAGAATATATATACTTTATGGGGTCGGAAACGCTTCCTTCTAGCTGTTACATACTTTTGCACGAATCTAGTATACCCTTTTACTCTACGAGTAACGGGTATAAAAAGAACGAGAGAATGACAGGTCCCACCTGAAAGTGTCGTGGCCCTGGGATCTAGACAATTTATGCAAATCCGAAATCCATTCGCATGAGTGAATTTAAATAATTGAATTGCATTTCCATGGCCCCGACGGGTGGCGAGGGGGCGGAAATGATAAATGACGTTATCCTTTATGGCTCTCGCCCACCCACAGTGTCGTGCCCCCTGACCAACAGCATGGCCCTGGTCTACGATGGCGTTCAGCTGCTGGCCGAGACCTACAAGCATGTGAACTTCCGGCCAGTGGCCCTCAGCTGTGGCGATGACAGTGCCTGGGACAAGGGCTACACTCTCGTCAACTACATGAAGTCGGTAAGTCGGTGAACTGGTAAAAAATATAATAAGTAAAAATATAAAAAAAACATAACTATTTAACAAAACCAAAACATACATAGATTTTATTAAAAATATATATTAGGTAATTCTATTTACTTGATGAGATTATTAAAATAAAATACTTAATCTTTATAGATAGTACATTTTTTCTTTTTCTGTTATTATTATGTAAAATCTGTAATATATTTAAACATTTTTAAAGGTATAACTTAATTTTAACAAGAGAGAACGCTATAGTCGGGTGCCCCGACTATCAGATACCCGTTACTCAGCTAAAGGGAGTGCGAAGGAGATGGAGAAAAACTTTGATCCGCCGTAACTTTTTAACGAATGGTCCGATTTAAAAAATTTCTTCTACATTTCGATAGGTATTGATAAACACAATAAAACTGCATTTTTACTTTTCCAAAATATTGAAATTTTTAAAATCGTATATAAGCGATTGTGGGCGTTAGAGGGGGCGTGGCACCCTTTTGAAACAAACTTGCGCTGCGTAGGAACTCCTAGAATCTGCATGCAAAATGTCAATCTTCTAGCTTTTATAGTTTCCGAGATCTCAGCGTTCATACAGACAGACAGACGGACAGACAGACGGACAGACGGACAGACGGACAGACGGACAGACGGACAGACGGACAGACGGACATGGCTAGATCGACTCGGCTAGTGATCCTGATCAAGAATATATATAGTTTATAGGGTCGGAAACGCTTCCTTCTACCTGTTACATACTTTTGCACGAATCTAGTATACCCTTTTACTCTACGAGTAACGGGTATAAAAATAATTATTTTAAATGTAATTTTTTATCTCCTTTATATGATTACTATTTTTTCTGTGCATGGACTGCCGTCTGATTCTGAATAACTCATGCAACGAGTCTCGCTCCACAGCTAACGCTGAATGGCCTCACGGGTCCCATTCGCTTTGACTACGAGGGACTGCGCACGGATTTCGAGCTGGAAGTCATCGAGCTGGCCGTTTCGGGTATGCAGAAAATTGGCCAATGGAGCGGCGAGGATGGCTTTCAGGAGAATCGCCCGGCCCCGGCGCACTCCATAGAGCCGGATATGCGTTCGCTGGTGAACAAAAGCTTCGTCGTCATCACGGCCATTGTGAGTAGTGGGTAAACGCCAGGGGCCAAGCTCCGACCTTGACTTTCTCCCTTCCCTTTTTGCTCAAAAAACATAGAGCGAACCCTATGGCATGTTGAAGGAGACCTCCGAGAAGCTGGAGGGCAACGATCAGTTCGAGGGCTTTGGCATCGAGCTAATCGACGAGCTGTCCAAGAAGCTGGGATTCACCTACACTTGGCGCCTCCAGGTGGACAACAAGTACGGCGGACTTGATCCGAAAACGGGCGAATGGAACGGCATGTTGCGTGAGATAATGGACAGTGTGAGTTTGGTTAAGTTGGGCAGGGGCAGAAGCCACCATGACATAAATCTAATCGACATCCGTTGCACTGCGGCCATTTAAATCAGTTAGGTTATCCCTGGCTTGGCCTGTGTGGATATTGATTTACATGGAATGGCCATAAGTGCTGTCATCATCGTTAACGTAATCGTTAATGCTCCCATAAACAGCAGTCTATTTTCAGAGAGCCTATGGCTTCAATTGCCTCAAATTAATAGGGTTTATAGTTAAGCGATTATTCTGATGTCCTTCTCGCCTTTGGGCATTAAGATAAATATCTTAATTGCATTGGAAATCAACCTTTGTGAGATTTAAATCTAAATTAACACAAACAATAGTTTGCCTTTCTTTTAATTAAATTTATTTTGAACAATTTTCACTGACAATTAAGAAGCTAATTCATAAATATAAAAAGCCCGAGGATTTGAATTTGTGGACATTTCAATATTAAATGTTTAGACATGATTGAGCAATACAAAATAAGATTACGATTACACGTTAAGATTTGATTTTAATTCTCAAAAGTGTTTAGTTGTTTTGTTATTGAACTTGATATGATAGGATTTTTTCGGCTATAACATTTACGAGAAGTTTTGAATACTTCTCGGTAGTGTAGTTGAATTTGTGTCACGGTTCTCTTGACCTTCTTTCTTTTTATTGAACAGTGCCGTAACATATCGTGATCCGAGTCTGCCTAAGAAATTTCCAAATATAGAACCAATTGCTCCCCCTTGGGGATGTACTCCGTCAATCAAAACATTCCGGTAATAGTTGTAGCTTTGGATGAATCTATCAAATTGTTGCCTTTCCACGTCAGATAGAGGAACATCGTTAGGATAGCGAAGATAAAATGATATCAAATCCGGAATATACTTTTCCTTAGTTAAGGTATTCACATTCGGATTATGAAAGACTTGAAGAATAAATTGCCTTTGTGATTCATAAAGTGGGTCGTTTATTTCGGCACTGGCTGAGCAAACTATGCTCAATAAAGCAGTTAGTAAACTGCTGAAGTAAAAACCCATAGCTTGATCGGATTACTATAGCAACTAAAAATTTGTTTCACGAGAACTGAAATTTATAGGAAGTTGGGAAATCTCCTTATACAATCATTCCTAGAATAAATGTATACTGCATAACACATTTAAACGCAAACAATTCCTGATAATCATTTATTGTGCCATTTCATTTGATTTAATTACGATTTCTGATGTTCTCAGAAGCAATGCATTTAATTTAAATCAGCGAAAGCTGACATCAGTCAAAAATTTGAACCCAATGGAAATTTTCATATTTATAGTAATACAAGTAGTAAAACAATTTTTCCGATGAATTTTACGGTGTGTGCGCTTTGTAAATTAAAATGCATAATTCAAAGATTGCTCTATTACTATGCTCCATCGGGCGTATGCGCAATATTTACATATGCATTTACATTTCTATTAATAAATGCATGCGTTCGTGCATGTGGAGAGGCCATACAATAATCTTTCATATTTAATTAGCGCGCTGACATGGGCATTACGGACCTGACCATGACATCGGAGCGGGAGAGTGGCGTGGACTTCACCATACCCTTTATGAGTCTGGGTGAGAACAATGATAAACTTACTATTATGCGCTTTATTTAAAGTTTAAATTTTAAACTAACTAAACCAGAGGATAGGGATTTACAACACCATTTAAAGTATTACCTACTTAATAATAATTTCGCAACCTTTCCAGGAATTGGCATTCTATTTCGCAAACCGATGAAGGAGCCCCCAAAGCTGTTCTCCTTCATGTCGCCGTTTTCAGGAGAGGTCTGGCTCTGGCTGGGTCTGGCCTACATGGGCGTATCGATCAGTATGTTTGTGCTGGGACGCCTTTCGCCGGCAGAATGGGATAATCCGTATCCCTGTATCGAGGAGCCAACGGAACTGGAGAATCAGTTTAGTTTCGCCAACTGTCTGTGGTTCTCCATAGGCGCTCTGCTGCAACAGGGATCTGAACTGGCCCCCAAGTGAGCAATCAGCTGCTATTTAATAATCTCAAATCATATTCATTGTATTTTTCCACAGGGCTTACTCAACTCGGGCAGTGGCCGCCTCCTGGTGGTTCTTCACTTTGATTCTGGTCTCCTCTTATACTGCTAATCTGGCGGCTTTTCTTACCGTCGAGTCTTTGGTAACACCCATCAACGATGCCGATGATTTGTCAAAGAACAAGGGTGGTGTTAACTACGGCGCAAAAAGTGGAGGTGCTACTTTTAACTTTTTTAAGGTGAGATTTAGTATATACAATAAATAGGTTTATTAGATATCCAATAACTGTTTATTCATTTGGTTTATCAGGAATCCAACTATCCCACCTACCAGCGGATGTACGAATTCATGAGGGACAACCCTCAGTACATGACCAATTCCAATCAGGAGGGCGTGGATCGCGTGGAGAACTCCAACTACGCCTTTCTCATGGAGTCGACCACCATCGAGTACATCACGGAGCGTCGATGCATGCTGACCCAAGTGGGCGCGTTGCTGGACGAGAAGGGCTACGGCATAGCCATGCGAAAGAGTAAATAGTTTCCAGACACTAAAGTTTCAAAGTAGGGAGATCAAGAGAGATCCTTTCTTGCAGACTGGCCGTACAGGGACACCCTGAGTCAGGCAGTGCTGGAGATGCAGGAACAGGGAGTGCTGACCAAGATGAAGACCAAATGGTGGCAGGAGAAGCGCGGCGGGGGAGCCTGCTCGGTAAGTTACATAGTGGTTGATCTCAGTCTCTGGCAGATCGTGCATGTGTGGGTGTGTGCAGGACTCGGACGAGGACTCCGGCGCCGTGGCCCTGGAGATTAGCAACCTGGGCGGCGTTTTCCTAGTGATGGGAGTGGGCTCCTTCTTCGGCATCTTTGTCTCCCTGCTCGAGATGGTGCTGGGCGTTAAGGAGCGCAGCGATGAGAACCAGGTATCCACCAGGATATTTTCCAGCTTCGAGAATACCCCCGCCTCACGATCCGATTAGCTCGCTCTGCCTTAAATGCACACACACACGCACACAGTTGATCATAGATCACTTAGATTTTGCTTGTCATGACATCTCCGGAATCCTTCGAAAACCCGCAGGAAGCCCCCGACTCGGATGCCTCCTCGCTGGGCTTTGCCAACTTGGGCGGCGTCTACCTGGTCATGTTCGTGGGCAGCTGTTTCGGCAGCGTTTACGGCCTGGTCAACGTCGTGGTCAGCGTCTACTTGAGTGCGCGGGAGAACAAGGTAACGCGGGAGGCGGTCTATAAATATTTTCACCTCTGTCGTGACTAAAAATGGCGGTGAAAAGGTCGCCCTAATCTGAATAACGGATTCGTTTCATCAGCTCCCCAAAACGACAATTCGGAGCCAAAAATACATTCACTACTCATTCAGCTGTGTCGTCTTTAATACTTAATATTTCTCATATCATATAATTTATATTTCATCATACTCATTCTAACCGTCTTCAAGAATGCTTTGTGATAGTTATTGTCTGCATGTTGTTTTCACCCGTATGTCAATAGAGAGAGATTACCTTTATTAATTTTGCAATCCTATCGGCAGGTGAACTTCAAGACCGAACTTCTGGACGAGATTCGGTTTATCTTACAATGCTCCGGAAATACGAAAGCGGTCAAGTATCCAAAGAACTCCTCGCGATCCATAGCGAGTTCCAAATCGAAGGGCTCTTCCATGTCCGTGGACTCTTTGCCCGAGGATCCCTCAGAAGACGATGCATCTGGAAAGCATAACCATGCCAAAAAGTAGTTCAAAAGAACAATCACCAAGAAAAAATTTGGTAATCTTATTTTATTTTAAATTTAATAAATTTTGAGTTCAGTTCAGATTGACGTGGAGTGTTTGGGTATTTGGTATTTGGTTTGGGGTTTTATTTACATGAGCTTTTATGTAAAAACTCACATTTCAGAGACTCTAGGAATCAGAGGTAGAGGTCGCTTAATATTAAGTAGAATTCATGTAAAAAGAAAGCTTTAGGAATTGTGGGCGTACCACGCCCACATTACCCTACATGGGTAATTCCAAAGTCGCGAACCTAGTGACAATGATTTTCTTTAAACTTAAATATATCTTTAACTTTTTCTTAAAAAGATATTAAACAAAACGCCAATGCAAATAAAACCTTCGATTTGTTTTAATGTATCTAATATCCTTTTAATTTAAAGTAATAACATTTTGTTTTGAATAATTAGAAAATTAAAACTTAAGAAAACCCAGGCATATCCTTCAAGAAAACAACATTTTATATCCTTTTGCATATCAATATATTTATCGATTTCCTCATATTATCGGGTGTCTTGACACATATTTTAACTGATACATCCAATATATTATTACTTTCCTTGCGGAAATACATTTAATGCTTTTTGTTAGACACTGAGATGTTGAAAAGGTAAAATTGTACGAAGTTTTTGGTTTGTAGGAGTACCGACTGCCCATGTTTCCTCATGTGGGTCTGTATGTATAAGTAGGGTACACGTGTATATGTTGTTTATCGTGTATAAGTTGTATAATAATACGAATACCATTTACCATATATAACTATAGTATTTATGTTTGCAGCAATATTGCCCCATCTGTTACATTCTGTATCCTATATTGCAATGTATTGGCCACACTCACTCTTAATCTCACACTCGCATGCACACATTTGTTAATTTATTTTGATTACACTTCATAACTTTAATACCTGATCATTACAGTTTAGTTTTAATTAGTTTAGCTATAATTGCATAGTTAAGTATTATATGGTTCCATATTATAACATCGACTGTTTTGATTTAGTTTTTATCCCCTTCTCATATGCAAATTGCGACAAACATTTTTGAAATTCAATTTTAATGCTCAACATTTAACTACACAAACAACAGAACTCATCGCTTGGGCTTATCGATCTAAATGAAATTTTGTTAATTCACTCTAGAGTATGGATTTTGCATAATTAATTTGCTATTTTTGCAACAATTATCTATTTTTATTTATTTATTATAAACGGTTTTCTGCAGGAGCAGCTTTTTATCTTTTGGTTGTTGAAAGGCTAGCGCTATCATATGTTTGTGGAATACTAAACGCTGGGGTAGCGAGGGAGATAAATAATAAATGTACATATATTTTAAAGGGGTCGTAATGATTAGGGGTCCGTTAAGTTGGTGTGAGGGTTAAATTAACCAGCAATCGGACGCTGTGAAGCATATAATGGGCAGGCAAACAATTGTTCGAGTAATTTATGCACTCAATTGCACTTTCATTGATAGCTGCGGCTTTTCGAATCTGTTTCTGATTTGCTTATATTGAGATATGTATGCACTGTGTATCGGTGGGTGTGTCAGTAGAGTTATAGTGGTACAGAAGGGCTATTCATTTGGTTTGAAAATTCTTTCAAATTGCCTCCCTTGAAGCTGTAAATAAAATAGATGTTTCATCGAAAAATAACATAAATAAAAATTGTGGGTTTCTAGCTCTCGTAAAAAGTTGTAAGCTCGTCTAGGTTTTCCTTTGGTCTTTTGTATTCGAGTGTTTGCATTATGTCCTTGAGTTTGGGGATTACAAAGCTACAGGGTATGTACAACAACAAAGCCTTGAATGCACACATCTCAACTGAATTTATGAAATACACATTTGCATTTCGGGTTGCTTGCGCGTTGCAAAGGACTTAAAGCTGAACGTTTCGATACACACATAAAGCATTTACTTGTTACTAATAGTAATAGTAATTCTGGCAGAACTGGAAATCAACAATCAATTAGGTTCTAGGATATGAGATTTGGTGTTTCCTTAAAAGGTGTTCTCGTATTAGCTCACATCGATTGGGAATATTTCCCTTATATTGTCTAACTAGGTAAGTAATACATCTAGGCTTGGGGTTTATTTAATGTAGTTTGATACACATTGGTAATTAGTATAATATTCTGCTAGCGGCTAATCGACCAGTTCTTCACATGAAAAGAAATAAAAAATGCCGGCAAAGTCAAGCCAAACCAAGGAGTTTTCAAATTGCCATTAGCCATCTCGGTTTAATGCTCCCTATCAACTGCTGTAGATTAGTGTGGTTACTTCTCATATGTATATATATATTCCATGTTCTATATTTATGTGTATAATACTAGGCTCAGTTTATTGTAAGTAGTACATACAAATTACACAAAGTTTAGTTTGATTTTCCATTTGATATTTGTTCATCGTTCTTGAGCGCTTCGTTCACTATGTTATCAATAAATATCTTGTGTTTTGTATTTTGTATTTTGTAGGTTTCACATTGTATTCATCTCAAAAGTTCATTAAAATAAATGCCTTTTAGTTTGTTTGCTGGCACTTTAGTGCCGAAGAGTATCCAAGTGTTTGTATCTGATAATGTAGTGTAAATAGTTCCTTGTTCAGTTGGTGGTGGTAGGTGGGTGGTGGTGTGGTCTGGGTGTAGTTAGTTAGTTGCTAAGTTAGTTGATTAGTTTGTCTTGGCTTGCCATTGAGTGTTGGCTAGAAGAAGGGCCGAAAGAGATTTGTAAAAGCCACTCCGCTTCACATCGCGGAGTGGGAGGAGGAGGAGCTTCGAGGAAGCTGTTCGGAAATTTCTAAATCACTCCGGAATCACTCAGAAATTCGCATGCGAATTCAGCACACATGCATACACATGCCGAGGTCCTTGTTCCTTGTTCCTAGGTCCAAGGTCCTGCGTTCGTGTATGCTGCTGTATTGGTATTGCTATTAGTTTTTTGGGCCCTCTTAAATGACACTCATGCGACGCCTGCCATTTCCGGTGCCCTCGGCTCAGTTGGCGTTGGCCAGCGTTTCGTGGCACACCTCCATGTAGTCAGGATCGTGCATGATGCCCTTTATCATGTCCTTCAGCATTGTGTAGCGTGGAAATATCGGATACATCTTTGAGCTGCCGTACTCCTCCTGTGGGTTCAGATTGGGATAAGTATGCAATGCAAAGTTGCCACCTGTTTGGCTTACCTTCAGCACACGGATGAGGTGTCGAAGTCCGAGATACTTTTTCAGCAAGCGGTACAAGTCGTTTATCAGCTGCGTGTTCTCGTGCTCGATTTGGGCCGTTGTCATATCTGTGGGGTGGGTCACCATAAAATATATATTTAATTTTTATAACGCCATGGAAATAAATGGTCATCTGATTTCACTTACGTTCCAATCGCTCCATCCGCTCCCGCCGCTCGGCCGCCTCCTCTGCCAAACGGGCCGAGGTCTTCACTCCTTCGCCGGACTTCTGGGTCTTCTCCATGATCGAACAGGCCCGCATCACGTAGGAGGGCACCGTCTCCTGCTTCTCCTGCCGCGGGATGTCCACCAGGGTCCAGTACTGGGTCTCCAGGCGGATGACTTCCTGTTGGCGATATGTAGTTAAGGACTTTTTTTTCATTTCGTTGCGATTTAAAATTTTCTTTATAGTGAGCGCACTGAAATGTAACTTCTTATCTTTCATTTTTTTAAAGAATATTCCTTTACTTTATTCCAATATTCTTATCTATAAATATGTGGGATTGGTTTTCCTTTATAAATTAGAAGTCCCACTATTTGTGTTTTATTATAATAAGATGATAGTTTTATTGAAATGAAATTAGTGATAAGTAATTCTGATATTAGTTTCAGGTATTTAAATGAACTTAAATCGGTTTAAACTGCGTTTTTTGATACTTAAATCGCGTCGTTCTTAAACTTCTTTATTTCGCACGTCGTTCTACTTCGTCTTTCTCGGATTAACTTCGATTTTTAATAATTTGATCGCGTTCTTCGTTAATTCGCACGTCTTGCTCCTTCGCTTCTCTCGTTCTTAATGCTCGTTGAATACTTCTTTTTTCCTTCGCCAAAACTCTTTTTTATTTCAGCTGATTAGAGATGGGTTGGTCTGAACGGGGCTGCCAGACCTATTCCCACAACTCGGCCATCCTTCTAAACATTCGTCCCGAATGTAGCGTCGTCGTCGTCAGAGAATACTTGCATCCATGGCTTCATATACTCGGCGCAAGAGGTAGTGCATCTTGGCCCGTCAGAAGATAGAGATTCTTTTACCACATCGTAAGTGTCCTTAGGCTTGACTTTGGTTACACGGTAGGGACCCAAGTACTTAGGCTTCAACTTAAGCCCACCACCAAGCTGAGTGCGTTTGATAGCGACAATATCGCCGACTTTGTATGTTGTTGCTGGTCTACGTCTGAGATTATACGAGTGCTTGTTCTCGTTTTGCATGACAAGGATCTGTTGCTTGGCAGCTTTGCGGATCTCGTCTCGATTGTCCTGAAACATTTGGATTATTTCTTGCTCGATCATTTCCTTCAGCTTAACGTCAGTTTTAGTGCGCATCTTGATGCCTACAAGTAGCTCGAATGGAGTTGTATGTGTACTCCTGCAGTACGTCGAATTGATTGTTTGCTGAACCTGGTTCACAAACTTATACCACTTGCTGGGATCATCTATAGATAGTTTGGAGAGCACGGATACAATTGTGGCGTTGAGGCGTTCAACTTGCCCGTTTGCTCTTGGAACTCCGGTGGTAACTGCATGAAGTTCAATACCCTCGTTCTCACAATACTTTTTGAAGTCGTCCGAAGTGAACGCTGTGCCTCGATCGGATATTATTTGTACAGGATTGCCAAATATTGCGCTCTGAGCTTCCAGTCTGGTAATAACGTCCTTGGAAGATGTTGATTTTGTGGGATACAGCCAACAAAATTTAGTAAACCCGTCGATGAAAGCAAGAATGTGCTTGTATGCCTTGTGAGTCGATTCGAGAGGTCCCAAAAAATCGATGTGAAATGTTTGAAGTGGCTCCGCTTCCTTCGGCAATGGGTGCAACTCTCCTTCCTTTTTCCCAAGTTTGCGGTTTAGCACAATACATGGAATGCAACATTTGATTTGTCGTTGAATCTTGTCTTCAAGTTTTGGAATGTAATATTCCTTTCCGATGATTTCCTTCGTCTTCTTTACCGAAAAATGTCCTTTTTCATGAGCCTGTCGAATGATTTCGCGTTGGAGGATTGGTGGTACAACTATCAGTTCATCGTCGTTCACCAATTTGTACAGCAGACCAGATCTCATGAAGAAATTGTTGTGGCTAGCTTTCTCAGCAAGGATGTCAATTATAGCTTTTAGTTCCTCGTCCTGCGATTGAACACTCTTCAATTTGCTGTGCAAGCTTTCGTCGGAGATCATCATTACAGGGTAACGGCTCAAAGCATCTGCATGACGTATGCGTGTCCCTGATCTGTGTTCAACTTCAAAGTCAAACTCCTGAAGTGCAAGGATCCAACGTGCGACTCGAGTACAGACTTCTCTTTTTTCCATCGTTTTTGTAAAAGCATTGCAATCGCTGACCAACTTGAAATGCATACCTAAAAGGTAAACTCGGAATTTTCGAAATGCTTCTACCACTGCCAGGATCTCTAACTCGTAACTGGAAAACTTTCTTTCTGCGTCTGTCGTTTTCTTACTCATGTAGTACACCGGGTGTATCTGGTTGTCATTGGGCGACTTTTGAAGCAGAACTGCTCCGAAACCATCAATCGATGCATCTGTATGAAGCTCTGTTTCGTGCTGCGGATGAAAAATCTTGAGAACTGGCTTCTGGGTAATCAGAGTCTTCAGTATGTTAAAAGCATCTATCTCCCTGTCAGAGAAAACAAACTTGGCGTCGTGCTTCATCAGGTCGGTCAAAGGTTTGGCTATGATTGAAAAGTTCAGGATAAATTTCCGAAAGTATCCAACCAGACCCAGGAAGCTTTGTAGTTGCTTCTGGTTTGTCGGCAAGGGAAACTTCGTCACAGCCTTCGTCTTTTCATCTGAGATACAAATCTTTTGGTTTTCAATGCTATGACCTAGGAACTCGATTTTCTTTTTGAGGAAACAGCATTTCTTTAGGTTGATCACCAAACCGTAGTCTTCACAGCGCTTGATGACTGTCTTGAGATTGGCGACTGCTTCGCCTTCGTCTGTAGCTGGGACAATAATATCGTCGACATAGGGAATCGCGATACCAGATCGGGTCAAGTCTCGGAAAATGGCGTTGACGTGCCTTTGAAATACGCCTGGAGAATTCGTAAGGCCAAAAGGGACTTTTAGGAACTGATACTGGCCATTGTGGGTTACAAAGGACGTAAACTTGCGGCTTTCGACATCGACGTTTACGTGGAAAAATCCGTTTTTGAGGTCCAGCGTGCTGAATACGTGAGCATCTTGCAGACGGTCCAATTGGTCTTCGATCAAGGGAAGGGGAAACATATCTCGTACTATTACCTTGTTAATCCTTCTGTAGTCAATGCAGAGTCGAGTTGTGTTGTCGCGCTTCTTGACTAGTACGACTGGACTGCTGTACTTGGACTCAGAGTGCTCGATGACCCCGTCCTTGAGCCACTGCTCGATTTGATCGTCAATAATACACCGCTCGGAGAATGCGAATCGACGCGGACGCGAGTGTACGGGGGTATCGTCTTTTAACACAATACGCATCGCAACGTTTGTTGTTTTCGTACTCGTCGGCTTGTAGTTCTTGATCAGTTCGTAAACTTCGCGTTTTGCTTCAGCGGTTGCACTTTCGTCAATGTTTATGTTAAAATTTTCGGCACTTTCGACGTTAATTTTCATTAGCGAACTTAATTCACTTTCGGAGTCATGGTTTTCTCGGCTTTGTATTTTAATTCCGTCACGATTTATTAGAATTTCAGCGTTGTTGCAAAATTCTGCGCCTAACACAACTTGTACGTCCAAAAAGTCAGAAGAAACAACTAGAAAATTCTCTTCAAACACTTGATCGTCAACTTCGAATTTCCTTTTAAACGAACCGAATGGTTTCACCCTGTTGTTGTTTCCGAAACCGACAAGAAAAATGTTCACAGCACTCAATTTAGGCTTATTCAAGCTTACGTACGTTGTTTCACTCATTATGTTGTATTTGCTGCCTGTGTCAATAAGAGCTGTGTACTTGTTGTTCTGTATACGAATTTCTTTACACATCGATAGTTTATCATCCGATACTTTGCGCGTATTTTTCGGAGTTTCAACCGTTTCAATTTTGCCTGTGGGGCAGTCTTTAGAAATGTGTCCATAATTATTGCAATTAAAGCACTTCCGACCGTTGCTTCGATTAGGGCACTGATTTGATGTGTGGCCACTTGCACCACAGTTGTAGCAATTCACCTTTCTTTGCACGGACACGTCTTTTTGGCCTGCACTGTCTTTGCCAATCGCGTATTTCGACTTGTCTTCTTGATATTTAGGCTTTCCGGATTTTTCACGAATTTTCTCGTAGCACTTTAACTTTTCCTTGAACTCCTTCAAGTCTTTAGCGTTGTACAAAATCGATTTGTTGACGCTCAAATCATTGATGCCATCAATCACGTATTGCATAAGTGCACTGTTGTCTACACTTCCACGAGAAGCCATTTCTTTCATTTTAAGAAGATATTCTTGAACACTTTCATTGTTTTTGATCTTTCTTTCGGATAGCAACTTATGTAAATGAGCACCATTCACTTCGGCTTTAAACTCTTTGATCAATGCGACTTTCAACATTTGCCAACTTCTGATACCACGCTCACTCATAATGAACATTTTAGCGAGGCCTTTAAGAGAACGTTTCGCGAAAATGAATTTTTGCAGGTCATCCCAATACATAATGGAAGCCATGTCCTCGAAATCGGAAACCCAAACCTCAACTGCAAGAGTATCATCTCCACTGAATGGTCGAATAGAATCTTCAACATCACGGAAGTTTACGGAAAATCGCGGCGAATTCACGCCGAAACTTTGTACCGAAGCGGAATCGTTATTCTTGGACGCCACTGTGCCAGCCTGTGCGTTTTTGTTGCTCCTCTTTGCCTGCTTTTCTGCGTTGCTGCGTACAGAACGAAACTCGTCGTCTTCATCGTTTGAACTTTTCTCGTCGTTGTCTTCGTTATTCTCCTCTTGTTCGTCTCTTTCATCGTCATCGGAATCCTCTTCATCAGCATCTTCTAGTAGTTTTCCCACACGCAAATTTCGGAAAATGTGCAGCATCAGATCATTTTTGTCGTGTTGCAAGCCCAAAATGTTGCAAATTATGGCGAGGTCGTTGTTTGACAAATTTTGCGCGACGTAAGACACTTTCTGGTTGAAGAGCTCATCACTTTCCACAAAATCAAAGCCTTCGAAACCACGTAGTCGTTTTCGATTATGCCGATCACCGTCGTATTCGTACACAAATTTGTGCAAAAGGTCCACATTCTTCTTTTTTTCTGATCTCAACGCCTGCAAAACCGATTCAAAATCAGCAAGGGTCGTCATGGTTGCTTAAACAATTTTCGCACACTTTTCGCAAGTTTTTCTTTGCTGTTCTTCCTTCTACTCGTATTCGTCGTTCACACTCACGGTCTGTACTCGTCGTTTAAATACACTTATGCGTCGTTATAAGCATATGTATAGTGCAGATTATCGTGGTATTTGTGGCGTCGTTTTCACACACTCGTACGTCGTTTTTCCAAGCTTTTCTTTTCTGTTTCCACAGTCTTCGTCGTTGTAAATCTTTGGTTCTAGCACACTTTTTCGTCGTTTTACTTAACACTTTTCACGTAGGTTGAGCCCCCATATTTGTGGGATTGGTTTTCCTTTATAAATTAGAAGTCCCACTATTTGTGTTTTATTATAATAAGATGATAGTTTTATTGAAATGAAATTAGTGATAAGTAATTCTGATATTAGTTTCAGGTATTTAAATGAACTTAAATCGGTTTAAACTGCGTTTTTTGATACTTAAATCGCGTCGTTCTTAAACTTCTTTATTTCGCACGTCGTTCTACTTCGTCTTTCTCGGATTAACTTCGATTTTTAATAATTTGATCGCGTTCTTCGTTAATTCGCACGTCTTGCTCCTTCGCTTCTCTCGTTCTTAATGCTCGTTGAATACTTCTTTTTTCCTTCGCCAAAACTCTTTTTTATTTCAGCTGATTAGAGATGGGTTGGTCTGAACGGGGCTGCCAGACCTATTCCCACAAATATGTATGTTATGAACATGAAAAGGGAAATTTTAATTCCAAGACAAGTAAAGCGAAAGAAACCCAAGCCGTTATTATTTAAATTGCATTCTTCATACAATCCAATTCTTATCAGCTATAAAAAATAAAAACTCATAACAGCGCAAGAATGTGGAATTATCAACTTGAACAGATTTTACGATTTCCCCAGAAAAATCTCTTTTTGTTTTTAGTAACAATCCAACAGTGTAGCGGAACATATTGCGCTCTGTTATAAGTCTTCACTAGATAAACGATTTTTATTCGTTTAAAAAATAACAAAAAACAACGACATTAAACGAAAAACTTATAAACGTGGCAGAGCAAGAGTTGTGGACCATTTTTAAAGGAAAAGATTTTATAAGTGGTGAATGTCAAAGAAATGTTGTTTGTAAAAAAATAGTGAATCACAATTTGAAAATTATAATATTATTCTTTTTATCTTAAAATATTTTTAAATTTTTAAGAAAAATGTATAAATGTAAAGTTTTTATGAAATCTCTAGTTAAAGAAGAATAAGTCTCATTTCTACATTTTTACTGACCTTAATCATGAGCTTGAGCATGGGATAGCGTTGGAAGATGTTGCGCTGGCTCTTCGAGTCGCCGTACTTGTTCATTAGGTTGATCAGGGCCTTCTTGGCAGTTTCGTAGGACTCCTCCAGACGCAGTCGCAGGGATCGCAGGCGCTCGTTGGTCTCGATTACCTCGTCCCGCGTCATTCCACTGGGCGCCCCCTCGTCCTTCACATCCTGAACGATTCGCCGCACACTCTGCGTGAATTTACCGACAAAGTTGGTGGTTGCTGGGTGGCGATAAAAAACACAAATTAAACGATAAAATAATTATAATTGTACGGAAATTGCACGAAGCACTGTCATTCATTATTCGAAATGTCAGTAGACACGCGCATTAACCCTTAATTAATCTGCGATTCATTCGGAAATTATTCGACTATGGGAAAGTCAAACTATTATGCCATGATGAAATCGCATCACTTTTTCTCGTTACTTATTTGTATTTTTTCACCCCGCTATATTTGTAATAAGAACGACCGCGCTGGGACTCGAACCCGCGGCGAAAACTCAGTGGTGGTTGCGGGCACGTCGCGCTACGCGCAGCACCACGGCCACTATCAGAAAACGTCTGTCTTATGTTCGCTTTGGTTGCGTTGGCTGTCAATTTTTTTCAATGGGTGTGTAAAAACATTTTTATTTTATTTTCGAAACGAATCACTTTAAATTGAAAGAAACTTTGATGATTCATAAAAATAGGTAGGTACTATAGTTTCTATCCGTACCTAGTAATAATTTGACAATGTAATACCTACAATAAATTATCATTAAAAATGCGATTAAAAGATTTTTTTTTCTACAAAAATAATAATTTTAACGGTCATAATTTAAATGTAAATGTCACCATATTCGTAAAAATAAACCTTGGTTTAGTAGCGAAATATTGTAAGTAACAACGACAATTTCAGATGTTTTTGAAATCGTAATGGCCCCATAAAACCTTTTTGAAAATTTTAATTTTAAAGAAACAATAAAGTTTGTAGGTTAATTTAAATTTAGGTTTTTATTGTTCGATGGTCCTTTATTTTCATGACGCCAATAATTTTGTACCATTAATGAATGGGAAAACTCCAGCATCAATTGAGCGCTGTTTTATGGGCTTTTCGTTGAGATGGCGAAAAGTGCAATTAGCATTCGTCATTGTCAGTCCGTTTCTGCGTCCGTAAAGTCATGAAAACGTGACATACTTCTGTGCCCGATTTGTATTGTGGGTCGTGCCTTCGGAAGGGGCTCGCTGATGGCTGCTTATTCTGGTGGTGACTTAAAACACTGCGAATTAGTCGAGCGTTGCATCTAAATGCGCCCCCTCATAATTAGAAACCCGACCATCTGTGGATTCTGACAGAGGCATTCCCTTGTTTAGAAATTGCACTGTCAGTTTCCTGCTGTGAATCACCAGCCGGCACAAAGACCCCGCATTGTGGGTGTCTGGAAAACTCTAATTGCTGGTGGAAACGCGTCGGTCAAGGACTTTGCCCAACGACGCTGATCGTGTGACGTACTATTTGCAGAGACTTTGATCAGTCCGCTACGAATAATGATCTGATCTTACAATTACAATACTTTTTTTTAAGAGAGCGGCAAAGAGTATCGCTTTTATCGCATCCTCTCGTTTCTTGCTCTCTCGATTTGTATTTTTGTTTACCCAGTTCGAAGTTTATACATATAAAGTGGTATACCAGAGAACCTCACATCAGTGCAAAGTCGAAAATCTCGCAGTAAGCATTGCTGTGTGGCGATCCGCGGAAAAGCATAAAAGCCACTCAAAAAAAAATATAATAAAAAAGCGAAAAACAAAACAAAACGTGAGCACAATACAAGAAAAATACAAACAAAGAGCTAAGCTAAATGTATATATAAACCCCATACATAATTGAACATATATACACCGCGCCAACAAAAAATCGAGAATAAGCATAGCACCAATTGAACTCAAAATTTATCTGTTCAATTACCGAAATCAAGAGAAAAGAATAAAAGCTCTATATGAACTGTTATACCGAGTGAATTTCAAAGTGAAAAGTGGGATCGTGAGCAGATATTGCGGCCATATGTTCCGACTTCTCAGTACGACTTATGTATCGGCTGAGGCATGAGCTTTATGAGCATTGTGTTCCTGTGTTGCGTTCCTGATTGGTTTATTGGCTAAGCTAATTCAGCCGATGGCTATTGACTGGCTCTCGACCAGTTGGCCTTCTGCTCGACTGGCGCTTTTTGCAAGTGCAGCAAATTTCCATATAAAAAGCGCAATTAATCCATGTTTGTTATTTTTATCCCTCTCCCTCGCCCTCGCCTTCGGTCTGATTTTTTTACCCCAGTTCTTATTTATTTACCCTCCGTTTTTGCCAGCTTGCACAAAAATTCAAATTTCAAAGAATTTTCTTTTATTTTCAAGATAACATAAATGTTTTTACTCAGCACACACATTCTGGAATTTTGTATTGTGTTATTTAATCGTAAAAATGTACATACTTATATTTCTTCAGAAAAACGCTTTAAGAACAACGATTACTGTATTGCCCTGTCATTATTATTTTATTAAGTAAAACAGTCAGACAGTCTGAAGTTGAAAAAAGATTTAAAAATAATTTAATATATTTAAAAATTAACAACAATAAAATTAGTTTTTTGGAAAAAATTCCATTCTCGTATCTTTCTTATTCTATAGCATTTTTAAATTTATACGTTCTCGGATAACCCATGACATTTTTTTAATGAGTAATTTGTCTGAAGTTGTAAAAATATTTTATACTTATTTATATTTTGAATATAAAACAGTAAAGTTCGTTGATTCTCTTATCTCTTAAATTCTTCGGTTTGCGACTGTTTTAAAAAATGTAAGTCTGTACCAACGAATATTTAAATTAATTATATTGTTATTGAATTTCTGTTTTATGGTTTTAAATTCTTAAAAGATTACAGCAACAGCTTAGTTTTTACGACTATTTGCTTATTATTGCAATGAATTGTAATTCTTAAACAAATAGTCTATCCATAGAGCAGAATTCTATTGCCGTAAAACGAGTTTAGAAAATTATATAATAATTGTACTAATAATTACTCAGGTTAACATAACAGCTTCATAACTTAACGACATGCTTACACTCCAAGTCTATAAGACAATATGCAAACCAATCAGCAATTGTAGATAAGCATTTCGATTTTATCGCGGGACAATGTCATTGATCAGAACAGTCTAACTGGGAAAAACACCTTTTAGCCAGTTAAACTCGTTCCGCGGATCGTGGAAGTGTAGAGCTCATGTTCCTGAGACAGAGTGCCATTAAAAGAAACTGGATCTGTCCCAGATCTTCGCCTACAATCTGCAACCAGACAGAGGACCCTCCATAAGTAAGCCGCTTGCTCTTCTTCACTTGATGGCCGACTGAACAGATGACAATCCGTACCGTAATACATCAGTCTTTCGGTAGAATATGGGTTGATGGCTTGATGGGTGGTTGTGTAGTCGGGTTAAAAACTCTCTCGACCTTCCCGCTCATCCCACTGATATCTGCGAAAACGACAACCAGAGTTTGTTTGACTGCGGAGCGGCGGAGAGAGGACGGCTAATGAGCAAAACGGCTTTTGTTTGTCTTTTTGGCCCCAAAGTTCCCCAGTCGACGCTCTTCGGGCTTCCAGCTAAGCAGAGTACCTGCGTAAACCAGTTTTTGCTAATTTGACAAAACACAAAAAAAACGTCGACATATGTAAGCTTTTTTGGTTCGGGGCTCTGGGCTCGAATATGCTGTTTGTCTTTGGGCTTTGGGCTGCTTTTTTCGAGAATGAGAATGGGCTAAGAGCGCGGCACAACATCACATAACTTGGCCAACAGCAAACGAAACGTGTCGTCGCCGCTCATTGTTTCCATTGGAGCTGAAAGATACGGAAAGTATCTAAAAGATACTTTTTTGCTTCGCACATAATTAAAGCTCTGCACGTGTCCGCATTTGTGTGGGTGAGTGCTGCGTGTATGTGCGCCCTTTTGGCTCACAAATATTTCAAGTTCAACATTTCTTGAGCTTGGGAATCCCCGCCTTTTGTTTGCACTTGAGCCCCTATTTACCTCGGTCTTAATTGTTGATTCCTTTTTCCTCTTAATTTGCCATTTTGCTGCTAACCCATTTTTCGTTTTATTTATTCTTATTTAGCGTCATTCAGTGACGTAGTATAACCCTCTTATCAGTCGGAGACTTAGGGAATTCCAAGATACCTGGACTTCCAGCGGTATTACTCATTGTAGGAACATTGGTCATGAATCTTAAGTTTTCTGGTTTGTAACTTGCCCATGGCTCATCGTGGTCACTTTCTAGAACGCAAGTGTTATTTATAAAGAAAATAATCATTCTCTATCGCAGAGTGTGTAATACACTTAATTGCATGTTGCGCGTGCCAACAAATTGCCCTGCAGTCTGTATTGTGGCTCGGATTAAATTTCTCTAAGGCCAAAACCACAGGCACGCGTCGAGAAATGAGGTTGGGTGATCACATACTGCATATCTTTCCCACGACTGTTGTGGTTTGTCACTCACACTCTTACTCACTCTCTTAGTTTTTGCGGTTAGTGAAATCATAATTTCCATGAGATATACGGAAGCCGGGAAATTCCTAGTTTTATGTACTCACAGTTCATTAAAAGGTTCATTTGCATGTAGTAAATAGTAATAGTTTTTAAAGCTGTCATGCACGGGCTACACCAACCATTTGGTACTGCGGCTCTGACGTAATCGTATTTAAAACCAGTTCGATTATTTATTTAGCTCATTTTATGGCTAATTCTTGTTCTTCCTATTTTTAGCTTTAAACATCACTCTACCCGTCGACGACCTTTGGTTTTCAATCAAATGATACAGGTCACTTTCAAACACCCAAGAAATTAAAGCCAATTAAAATGGGAGTCTGACTCTTTGCTCAAGAGTAATTCGACCCAAGCATTGCAATAGATTCCTATAATTAAAACGACAAATTAATGGTTTAAGTTGAGAAGGTGTTGAGTTAAAAGCTCAAGTTACGTCAATACGTTATTAAGTGGCTCGTGCGAAGAGCTAATACTCTACTACTGCTTTTATACAATTTATACAATAAAACATCTTTGTGTTCACGCTTTAAGAAGCAGCTTTATTATGGTATAATTATAATATCATTGAGGCTAGCGTAAAACCACTAATGGATTTAATTATAATTAAATGGCATGTGCCATTTCAAAGTCTGATCTAGGTAGCCACGTCTAATG